GTGAAACCACACAGGAAGTGGAAAGGCTTCAATTTGGAATATTATTTTAAAATTATTCTTCCTCTACTTCCTCATCTATTCCTCCTCCATCTATTCTTCCTCCCCTTCTTCTTCCACCACCTCTTCCTCCTTCTCCCCTCATCTTCCTTCTCCTGTACCTCATTTTCCATCTTTCCCTTCTCCTATTCTTCCTCCTCTTTCTCCTTCTATCTTCTTCCCCCTCTACTTTCTCTTCATCCTTATCCTCTACCTTCTCTACCTCCTGTTTGACCTCCTTCTCCTCATCCTCCTCTGCTTCCTGTGTCCCCTGCAATTCCACTTCCTTTTCCACCAATTCCATCCTTCACCTTCTCATTCTTCACCTCCTCCACCTTCTCATCCTTCTCTTCTACCTTCTCTATCTCTTATTCACCTTCACTACCAACACCTCCATCTCATCTTCTACCTTTTCCTCCTTTTCGTCTCCCTCCTCTTCCTCCTCCTAATCTCTGTCTTGGAAATAAAGAAATGTTCCCTCATCCCTTCCAGGGTGTCACCTCTGTGGTTTGATGACCTACAGAGGTCACACTGTAATACATTCTCAAGTGACTGGAAGACGCAGCTAAAATAAACTTCAAACACTACATACACAAACAATATGGAAACATGTGAGAGAACCTTAGAGATTTCCCTAATTTTCTGTCTAAACTCCGATTTTCATCTTCTGCCATGGAAGCCTTTCCAGAAGATTCTCTATCACAGACTATCCCCAAATAACTCTTTGGCTGAAAGCCCTTCTCCCTGTGCCAGACCCTCCCTATGTCCTGGAATGTTCTTGAGACCATGAGGCTGACCTGCACCTCACTTCTAGGTACTTCATCATCCAGCAGCTCCTTGAATGTCGCCTCTTGCTGCCCTGCCACTGAAATATTCAAGTCCGCAGCCAAGCGTCTAGTTCTGTCTCTTGATCATTTTCTCACTCCATCCCCTCCCCCCTCCCCACACACACAAGGTTTTCCTGCCTTGATTTGAAGACTTGCTCGGAGTCTGCCCAGCCAGCCCCCTCACCATGATGCCCTGGCCAAGCTCCTTTGCCACAAACCCCGCACCAGCTGCTTGGAATCTTTTCTCTCCACCCTGCTTTGCCCTTCTCTTGGCCACCCTGCCCAGACCACCTCACTCATGTCCAGTACCACCTGTTGTGCATCTGCCCCCAAGCGTTAGGGCATCATGAGGGACACATCTCCTCAGTCAGCCTCTGGGGAAGGCCTCTGACCGTGCCAATTCTTTCACTCTCCTCAAGGCCTCTCCCAATTCTTTCACTCTCCTCACGGCCTCTCCAGCCTCGTCCCAGACCTTCTGCTCTTGTCAGCCATGACTTGAAGCAAGAGAATCTTCAGAGAGTCCAGTTTCTCTCTCTCTCTCTCTCTCTCTCTCTCTCTCTCTCTCTCTCTCTCTCTCATACACACACACACACACACACACACACACACACACACACACACACCCCTTCTAATCCTCTCTTCTCATCATCTCTCCTACTCTTGCAGAAGAAGAAGAGGGTTCTTCCTCTGGTTCAAATTTAACTTTTCTACAACAAAAATCACCCACATTCCCCAACCTCTTTCCCTTTAGTATTTCCACCCTTGAATCCCATAAACCAACTTGAATTTCTTCTGTTTTCAAATCAAACAGGAGGCCAGTAGTATGGTTCGGTTTCCGCTTCCATGACTGACCTCAGCCCTTCCATGATCTTCTAGCCCTACTTCCTTATTTTTCCTGGACTCTGATCACAATAAAATGTGAGCCTTTAGAGGGCTTGGGGGGCTTTTGGGGGTTTTTCAATGGAAGCATCTGAGGCCAGGGGAAAAGCTCAATGGTGAGGGGAGCATTCTTAAACTCCTCTGGGACCTGATTTCAAGCCAATTAATTGACCCTCCACGCTGGCCCTACTGGGGTGGCCCCAGTACCCCCAGTTCTACAGGGCCTGAACTGCACCACATCCCAGCCAACTTCTTGGGAAACCAAAGCAACAAAACAATAACAACAATAAATATCACCTGTTCTTTGTAAGCAGGTGCCAGGAAATACGTAAAAGCATTTAAAATTTAAATTTGTAGTAATGTCACCACCTCATTTTGCATGACATCTGTTCTTCAGTTATGTATTAATATTTTCTGTTTCATTTGCTATTTTATTGTTCATTGGCAATTATTAAGAGAACTTTTAAAAATCACATTACCACTAATACATCTTAACAAGGCATCTTTTTTAAAAATTGAATCACCATAAGATAGTTACAAAGTTTTTATGTTTGAGTTCAGTCATACAGTGATTGAACACCCATCCCTCCACCAGTGCACATTTTCCACCACCAATGTCCCCAGTATTCCTCCCACCCCCCTCACCCCATTCCTCCCCCTACCTTTATGGCAGACAATTTCCTTCTTGCCTGTATTGTATCTTTCTTGTCTCTCTCTCTCTACCCTTGGACATTATGGTTTGCAATACAGATACTGAGAGGCCATCATGTTTGGTCCTTTATCTACTTTCAACACACATCTCCCAGCCCGAGTGATCCCTCCAACTATCACTGACTTAGCGATCCCTTCTGTATCCCAGCTGCCTTCTCCCCCAGCTTATGAGGCAGACTTCCAACCCTGGAGCGATCCTCCTGGCCCTTGTCTTTACTGTCCTTGGGTTTCAGTTTCATATTATGTTATTGTATATTCCATAAATGAGTGCAGTCATTCTATGTCTATCCTTCTCTTTCTGACTCATTTCACTCAGCATAATACTTTCCATGTCCCAAACAAGGCATCTTTAGTACCATAAACTCTCCACATAAACTCTCAATAGTAGAGAGAGTTATTCTTCCATATACCTTTTCTAGTTCTAAATATCCAAGAAAAGTATATATATCCAACTTTAATTTAGAAATAGAATCTGGGAGCCAGGGAAATAGTATGCAAGTTAAGACCTTGAATGCAGCTGACCTTGGTTCAAAATTCAGCACCATGTAAAAGTCCCCGGACCCCTGCCAGGAGTGATCCCTGAGCACAGAGCCAGGAGTAAGCCCTGAGCATTGCTAGGTGTAGCCCAAAAACCAAAAAATATATATAGATAATCTAAACACTTACACTATTTTGTAATCTGCCCTCCCTCCTTCCAAAAAAAAGTCTTTCTAAATTACTATGCAGTTCTGCAGCATTTTTTTTTAATGTCCAGCAGACATCTGTAGAAATGTCATCATTTATTGAGTGTGTCACCTCCAGATGCCCACAAAGTTTAAAGTCAGCATCTTTTGTCTCCTTTAGAAGGAACTATTCAGAACATCAGTGTTTGGGGGCTGGGAGCTAGCTCCAGATCAGGGGTACAGACCTGATCTGTCCCCAGCAGCCGGGGCTCCCATGCAGCTGAGGAGCTCCTGGTGGTCCCTGGCACGGCAGAGCCCAGCTTCTCCCCCACACTCCAAGATCAAAAAACCTCATGTTTCACTTTGTTTTGCACTGACTGTGTTTTCCGCTTCATGGGGGGGAAGTGGGGGAGAGATGCTGCCTCATCTCTGAGTCAAGGGGAATTAGTATCCAGCAGCATAAAATCTTCATCCTTTGTCAAATGGCCATTCCTCATCCTTTGTCAAAGGATGGGACCATCTGTCCACTCTCGTCGGCTCTGTAGCTCCTGCAGCACAGTGACCCCAAGGCCATCGGTGCTGCAGAGAGTGACCACAACTCGGCAGGTGGACACTCAGCAAACACTGAGCACCACTTTCATGACTTCTGGATGCATGCGACTTGCTTTTCCGGAAGCTTCTGTCAATGATCCATGCTTTCCTGGGATGCCTCTGATCTCTGACTTCCCGCTCCTGTCTTAGTTTGCCTGGCAGGGTCTTTGTCCTTTCTCTGTCCTCAGGACACTACATGCTTCTCGTTCCTTGGGCAACCCTGACCACTGAAGCTGGACAGGCCCTGCTGGGGAGCAGATCCATGATGGGGCGCACAGCCCCTGAGGCCTGGGAGCAGTAGGTAGGGGTGCAGGCAGGCCACAGAGGCACGGGCTCCCGCTGAGCACGGCAGAGGCCAGTGCCGAGAAGGCTGTGCATGCCATCAGGCCAGAGCCTGGACCCTTTCCAGGGTACTGGAAACGCTTCCAGAATTTGAGGGTTTCCTCATGTCCTCCTCAACGGTGCACCCCCCGCCTGTGGTAAAGGAAAAGGGTGGGTGCAAAAAATTAGGATTCTAGATCCATTCATCTCGACTCAAGGACGTGAATGGGATCTTCTGGGTTTTAATAGAACTTTCAAAATATTGGTTTAATCATCAGATGTATCTGGATTGGAGCTTGGGGTCACACTGGAAGTTCTGGAACATTTGGCAAAGTGCCCAAACAAGCTCAGTGCTGGTCCAGAGTTCAAGTGGTGTGCTTTGGGAAAGTCATCTTTCCCAAAGACGTGGTCGACCCGAGTCCGATTCCTGGCATCCCGTATGGTTCCCCAAACACTGCCAGGAGTAACCCCTGAGCATCGCCAGGTGTGACCCCCCAAAAAAAATTGAAAAGAAAATACAGGTTTTAAAAAAACTGGAACATAAAACTTCCCTGAGGGGGAACTTCATCCATGGACAGGATGTGGGGCTCAGGCTCCCCCAGATAGATTCCTCATCCACAGGTGCCTCCCACCCCCAATTCTCTCCACCACTCTGCACAGGTGAATCAGAAAATCAGAAGAAAAGACCGCCTCGAAAGTTGCTCCCACATTTTCTGTCCTTTGGGGGAAATGACATTTACTTTCCAGGTTCTCCTTCCCAGAGGAACCTTGGAGATGTTGGTCGGTGCTGGATAAACTCCAGGAGAATGGAACACCAGGCTCTGCCAACAGGCAGCAACTTTGACCGTGGACCCTGCACGCGTGTGTGCACCCACCTCCCCACAGGGAGAAACACATACCCAGATTTCCAGGTGCATGGGAAGGTAACAGCATGACCGCCACTGAAGGTGATGGCTCTTGTTTTTCTTTGCAGCCTGCTGCTCCCCCGGAGGACACCCCTGAGCTCAGTGCCTTCCTGAGCAACTCCACCATCCCTCATCGTATCAGGAAGAGAGACGTGCCCGTGCTAGAGGCCCAGAGGCAGAACCCCTCCAAAATCCTGGTGCAGTACCCCAGCATCATGCATGTTGGATTTAGGGAAGTGGTGGTGGTGGTGGGGGGGGGGGGTTTACAGTTTCCTGCCGTGAGCAGACATGTCTGTGCCTTTGGCAGAACATAATATCAGAACATAAACGAAGGGAGCTCTGCTCTGCACATGAAGGAGCATTTGCTATGTCCCACAGGCGTTCCTTAAACCTGCCACTCAGGCCGCACTGGAGAAACAGTGATGGGAACAAATCAAAGTCCTGTTGTTAGCTCGTCCGCAGACATAGGGCCAGGCAGAGTCTGACAAATGTGAGCCACGACCCACACCTGCTGCACGGAAGGGTGTTGAGCGGACCTTGGGCCTCACCGCTGCTGGGAGGCCAGAAAGGAGGAGAATGGAGTGTCCAGGTTTAAGGGCCAAAGTCCCTGGGGAAACTTAGCATGGAGGTTGGTGATGAAGCCATCCTGAGCCATAGTTCTTCTATAAAACACAGGACCAGCTTGCAAATAAGGGCTCATTCCTTTCCTGGACTCTCCCACAGGGAAGGCCCCTCACCTGCACACTTAAAGAAGGGTTCAAGTGTTGCTCTTGGTTTGTTTTCTCATGGGGCTCTCACACACGCACTGACACCCAGTTCATCTTGACCACATGATGAGATTCAAGTGCGGAAATGTCTGAAGTCAAAGAAGCAAGTCTAACAGAGTAAGCCCAAATGAAATCAAGAGAGGAAGTTGTATTGTGAGCACAGGAAGTTGTGTGGCAAAAGGCTCTGTCAGCTGGTAGATGATGCAAGTCCCTGCATGTTTTTAGGATTCTGTGATTCAAAAAACAAACAAGAAAAAAAAAAAGCACAAAGCAATCAAAATGCTATTTAATTTGGGACAAATGTACAAACTGTATGTTGAGTATTTTTGTAAACCTTCTTCCAGGAGGAATGATAGAAAATAAAGCTATGATGAACTAGATTGCCAGTACGTTCATGAGAACCCCCTGGACAGCCAATTATCCAGATCTTGGAGGACTGACAAGCTGGAAATAGAGTTTCAAACTGATTTTTTAATTTCCACTGTGGTGTATATCTCCCCAGTATACAGAGGCAGGCAGGAAGCCCAAGAATAGAAACTATGGAAAAGTTTTGGGCTCTTTTGTTAGATTCTTTCCCGTCTGCTCTTACTAAAGATTTTTAAGGCAAGGTGACTTTTGATTATCACAGAGATTTATCACTTACAGATGAGAGCAAGACAACTCTTTATCTCCATATCTGATTTTGTTCACTCAAATTTTACTCTCTCTCTCTCTCTGGTTCAAAATTATTCAAAATTAAAACCCAAATGGAAATTCAAAATTGAACTCAGGTTCAAAAAATTATAAAGCATCCACCTTCCCATATCCTGCAGTCAAACAATTCTGGAGAGAAAGTGATTATGCAGAGTTTATTCTAAAATCAAAAGCGGAAATAAGACCTCCTACAGTTTTTGTTTAGTTAAAAACAACTTACTGAATCACATTTCTGATTAGGAATTTGAAAGTGCAAAATGCCAACATCCCAGTTGGGATCAGAAGTTCCAATTTGCATAGCAAAAAAATGGAGTCAGTGACACTGAAATGTAATTTCTCTTCTGCCTAAGAATATCTTTGCCTTCCCCATGGGGGCCTCCTGCTGCTTTGATAGTTATCACCCCATCCCTTCCCTATTCTGCTTAGGGAAACCTTATCCTTCTAATCCTCTCCATCATTTGATACTATCAGCCACTTCCTGAAACTACTGCATTCCTTGGCATCCCCCCAAACCTTCTCTTCTGCTTCCCTTCCTCCCTTTGACCTACCTCCTACAGCTTTGTGCTGACCTCGCTTCTGCCCACGATGCCCTGCTCCTGATCTCAGAATTCCACTTTCATCTACCCCCACTGCCCCCTCCTCTTTTTTGTTGCTCTTTCAGGTCATGTCTTGCCTGATCCTTATTCCAGCCACCGCCAGGAATGACCTGCCATCTTTGCCTTTGCTGTGTGTGAGCCACTCCCAGTCCAGCACTGTGAACTGTCCCCATGATCCCTCCCAGGACCCTTGTCTTGAATTCCCAGTCTCAGCCATGCCAGAATCCAAACCCCTGGCCAGAGCTTCCCAGTTTCCCAGCTCAAGGAGCTTCTTCCACCGCCCCCTCCCCATCACCTTCAAAACTTCCTTCAGATTGATCTTGCTCTTCTCTTCAAGAGCCTTCTTCATCTCTCACTGAAATTCTTGCAATAGACCCTCATCCTTCCTGCTTCTCTCTCTCTCTCCCTCTCCCTCTCTCTTGGTCTCCCATTTCTTTCTCTCTTCTCATCTGTCCCTCTAAGACACACATCTGATGCTAGCCCTCACTCTCAAAGCTTTGTGGACTCCCTAGTCTCTACAGCACAAACTGGAAGATCCTTTAGCACATAATTTGGCGTCTCTTTTCTCTCGTTTCCATCCGTCCATGCCTCTCCTAATACCTTTTCTCCTCTTTACTGAACATACTCTGGTCTCATATCTGGTATCGCCAAGAGATGTACCAAGAGAACCAAGATAGGACCCCTCTTGTCCTGCTCACTGATGGTTTCTCCTGCTTGGAGCTTCATCCCAAGCATTCCTCTCCCAGTATCATCCAGCAGAGCCAGTGCACTGGAAGCTACATCCCACCATCCCAGGGAGCTTATAAAATTGTGCCTCTGACTCCAGAAGGTAGCCTCGCTCACACAGTCCATCCATAAAGGCCCTGAGGTAGGCAGGAGAGCCTTTTGGGAGACAAGATTGTGACCCCACACCTCTCAGTACCCAACCATTGGACAACAAGTCAGCCCAGTCCCTGTACTTGGGCACTTCCTGTAGAAATCTGGTCCTGCCATAACTGATCAAATGCCCATCGTGCAGAACTTGGTGGGGGTTGTTCTTTTTTTTTTTTCAAGAAAACTCTGAGGTTCTCTAAAAAAGATTTCGTGGTAGTATATTTCTCTGGATCCTCTGCGCTGAAACAATTCATCCATGTAAAATGTCAACTAGTCCCTTCACATCATAGCTGGTATATGGATTTTTGTGTTTATCAGTGCTGGAGACATTTTTTAAAATGGACATAGCATTGGGCACGATATAAATTCAAATCAGTGAAAGGGGACCTTCAAGAAGGCTACCCCAGTGCCTGGTATGGAAAATGGACAGACAGTGAGGTGTCCAAGATCCCTACTCAACAGGCCATACCCCACCAGAAAAAGCAGTCCCAAGGCAGAGAGTTAGAGACATCAATACTTGCCACCAACCTGCAGTTCTGACATCAGTGGCCCATGCTAAGCCGGCGATTCTAGAATGTGGTTTCAAAAACACCTTGAAGAAAGGACTCACCGAAGATCCTGCCTCATCACCAGAAAGTCATCTTGAGAGAGAGGAAAGTGCAGGAGATGATGTCACAGTCTCCGTGGAGGTCTTAAAGAGTTCCTCCATTCCGGGTCCTTCTACAGAGGCTTCCTAGGCCTTGGTCATTCCACAACAGATGCTGGGAAAGCCCTAAGGAACCTACACCTAAGCGCTGAGGAAGCAAAGCCAACAACCCAGTTGGCTGCAGGAAATTCTTCAACTACCCTCAACAATAATTCACGATTGCTCACTGAACTTCCCGTAGTGTGGCTTCTCCCATTACCACCATACATGGATGCAATGTTCCTGCCAATCTTGCCTGCTTCAATGCCGTTGCTCTTATTGAATGAAGAACAAATTATTGACAATTATATTAATGATTCTGGGAGGACTTGGGCACCCCAGGGGTGGTGCTGGGCACCATGGACACTGCAGGGCCTGTGCTGGAACTTTCCAACCTGGCTAGCCAGGAGTGACTCCTGTTCATGCTGAGCAGTGCTTGGGAGCTCCAGTTCAAAGAGGTTTTAAATCAATAATTGGGGGTGGCTAACAAGGCAGTACAACGGGTAAGGCACTACTTGCCTTGCATGTGGCAAACCAAGGTTTGATCCCCAGCACCCCGAGCACAGTTAGGAGTGATCCCTGAGCACAGAGCCAGGGGTAAGCCCTGAACACCATCGGGTGTGCCCCCCCAAATAACAATCATTTAATGTGGGGGGAATAATGATTTCTCCATCACAAAAGCACTGGTTTTCTGCTGTTTTTCCTGTCTTTCCTCTCCGCAGAATTGCACAAACATCGAGTGCTTACAGATTTCCTGTGCAGTTAGCCGACTCGCAAGAGGAGAGAGCGTGGTCCTGAAAGTCCGATCCCGGCTCTGGGCAGAGACGTTTCTCCAGGTAATGGAATAGGGGAACCCCAGGGAGCCTCGCCCCTCTCGCTTCCTCTCCCCCCTGTGCTCTCATTAACAGGCTCTCTTGCACGCTTTCTCAACCACTCACACACTCTCTCCCCCACACACATCTTTGATAGTTTTATCGTGCAACTTCCACAGAAGAGAAACATTTTCTGATCCAGGGTAAACAGCTGGCAATTCCTCATGCCCTTGATTTCTGACATTCTGGTCACAGGAAGATTTTATCAAGGTTGATTCTGAATGGTTTCCTGGTGGTGACTGTCACAGGAGACAGCATCCTCATTTGGAATAAGTTTAGGGATAGAGGAATAGGACAGCAGTTAGGGTGCTCACCTTCCACGCAACCCCCAAAACCACCGGTGGTCCCCAGAGTCCTCTCAGGAGGGCTCCCTGAGTACAGAGCCAGGAGGCAGTCCTGAGCACCTCCGGTTGTGGCTTTAAAACCAACAACAACAAAAACCTTTTTAGTAAGTTTAATGTTTAGCCAGTCTGGCACGGACTTAGTCCTCTCACAAGAGACATTGTGTTGAATTTTGAACCTGCCTGCGCTGAGTGTATCCATGCACTGAATGTTCCAGAAGGAACTCAGAGCAGGGAAGCTGGTGCTGTGATTGGTCATGCTCTGACTTGAACCCACTCAGAAATCTCACTCTCCTCGCCATTCCTTATCAATGCCCTAACTTTTATTGGCACAGTGGCCCTAAGCCAAGCACTCTGCAAAAGCATAGAAGAGGCAGGCAGTGGTCTGCAAACTACGGCCAGAGTGACTTGGCACGGGCAAAGGAAAGGGGCATTTTTTGAGGAGGAATGGTTACATGGGCCAAGCTCAAGCTTCCAAAGATGTTATCAAGGGGTAGTAACACAGTAATGCAGCCGCTATTTCAATACTGACTCCAGGAGCTGGCAGTAGATGTATTACCTGAGTAGACTGCTATTTGGGAATGGAGACTGTTTCTAACTTAAGAATAGAGCAGTTACACAAAGAACATAGCACAAGGCATTCCACTTTGCACAGGGAATCAATAAATGCAAGATAAGTAGAACTTTTCAATGTTGAACCAGCTGGTCACAGCCAACAAGCTTTCATTTCCATTCCTCAGAGGTCTGGGGCATCTGAGAAATGAAAAATCAAAATGCATCTTCCTTTTGAGAACAGAAGACATTTTGATTTGGGAGGATAAACCTAAAATGAAAAACTGCAGATCCATAGGCTGTCCTGTGAACTGACTCTTTGCCACAGTTCCAAGTCCCAGACTTCCAGTTTGCACTGCTGAAGAGCAAAGGAAGAACATCTGTCCCTCATCCTCCTTGTGATCAGCAGCCCTCTTTGAACAGACCTCTAACAGTTCCTAAGTACCTTGTTCTAATCGGAGGGGTCTCATTCCATGACTGAATGAGTTGATGTCGAATTGGTGGTATCAAATGGGAAGACCTTGGAATAACCAATCTGAGGTCATAAAATGAGTTGATAAAATGCTTCCATGCACATGAGGGGCACAGAACACAGAAACATTATGAATCACACCTGAGGCCATCCATTCTTCTACAACCTTCTTGGAGAGCAGAGTAATAGAGAAAAGTTAAAACTGGGAAAGTCAGAAATGTGGACAAATCAAGCATTATCTCAAACCTGCTGAATCGGAAAGTCATAGCCTGACCCCAGGTGTTTCTGTGGCAAAGCTAGATGGTTTGGGAGCTAGTGGGAACAACAGGAAATGTTGGTGATGGATGGAAGTGGGGGCAAGAATCAAACTGGCCCAGAGCAGGAGGTGGAAAGGAAGCAGGTGAAGGAAAATTCCCTCCGAGAAACACGTTTCTCCATTATCTACATTGTAGAATTCAAATCCCATCTCCTGTTCAAGAAACGTCCTTGCTCACCAACGCAGAATCAGGCAGGATGAAGACTTTCCCTCTGGTTCCAGTGAGGGGCCTGACATCCTCACACATTTTGTTTGCCAAGATCAAGCACAGGACATTTATTTTTCCATCAATCCCTGATTGAACTTGAAACACAAAAAGAAAATCACGGGAGGTTTGAGAGCTAGACCCACACCTGCGTGTGTTATTATGACCCTGACACAGAATCTCATCACCAGAGTTTGTCATGTGCTTCCTGTGTCAGCCAGCAAGTATGGTAAAGAACACATATTTAAATCATCAAGTACATAAAAGTCTTCCGAACAAAGATTTCCTCGTTTTATAAAATACTTCCATCTCTGGCTCTGCCTCCCTCTGTCTTTGTCTGTCTTGCTCTCTCCCTCTCTCTGTGTCTCTCTGTCTCTCTGTCTCTGCCTCTGTCTCTCTCTGTCTCTCTCTAGGTCTCTGTCTCTCTCTCACACACACACACACACATACACACACAGACACAAAACTAAGATTTCAGAGCTTTCCGTTAAAATGGAACCGCCAGAAGATAAGAGAACAGCAGGAGAATAACAAGCAAAAAAGAATTTCTAAATGAATACAGTTGCTTATCTTGGAATGCAGGGGTGGAAAGAAAGAAAAAGCCAAAGATATAGTGACTTTAAGTATTTTAGAGTTTTGCATACCCTGGGATGTCCTTATCATGTAGAGGAAATGGAAACTGTTGAAGAGAAAAAAAATTCTGCTATCAAGAAAAAAAACTGTAAAAAATGTTTTCTTTTTAAAATATATCATTTGAGAATGGGTTTTAAGAAAATAACATCTAACAAATTGACTTGGTCTCAAAAAAAGCCAACAATGAATTATAGCTAGCAATGTGATAGAGATATAGATATTAATGTGATAGTATTATTATTTAATAATAAACTGCATTCTGGGAGAAAGAAGATGCAACATGAAAATTATTTTAATATTTGCTGATTCCCATGCTGTAAATATCCCCAGCAAGGTGGGTTCCAAGCTGCCAATGTGGCATCGCTGAATCCAGGCTTGGAAGAAATACATCCATCCGCTCGCTTGTCCCTTACAGACATGAATACCAAGCGCATCCATCCCAGCAAGACGCAATGAAATCTTTAGGAAATGCTGAGTCTTGGGTGCTTATTACCTTTTCTAAAATGTAAATTACTCAGGTTTATGGGCTGGAGCGATAGCACAGCGATAGGGCGTTTGCCTTGCACGCAGCCAACATGGCCGACCCGAGTTCGATTCCTCCGCCCCTCTCAGAGGGCCCGCACGGCAGAGCCTGGCAAGCTACCTGTGATGTATTCGATATGCCAGACACAGTAACAGCAAAGTCTCCAATGGAGACATTACTGGGCCTGCTCGAGCAAATCGATGAACTCAGGTTTATATATGTAAGTTTAGTTATGTTGTTATTATTATTATTATTATTATTATTATTTGCTTTTTGGTCACTCCTCGCAATGCACAGGGGTTATTTCTGGCTCTGCACTCAGGAATCACTCCTGGCATGGCTCAGGGAACTATATGGGATGCTGGGAATTGAACCCAGGTCGGCCACACACAAGGTAAATGCCTTACCCACTGTGCTATTGCTCCACCCCTATATGTAAGTTTAACTGTATGGTTCTATTAAGCTGGCACTGAAAAGTCTTAAACTTTTACCATTCTTTTCTCAAGAGCCATTATGAGCCAGTTCCAGTTCATCACTCAATAGATTCAATTATTGTCGGATGTCAAATGGAGTGGAGAAATTCAAATCTCAAAATGACTATCCTTGAGCTAATCTTAAATATTTTCCCCTGACTCTATTGTGTTAAATACAAGAACCAATTAAGCCAAAGGCTTTACATGGAAAGTTTTGTCTAAAATACTGTATGGTTCTAGGTCACAGGTTCTTAACCAACAGAATCTGGATTTCCAAGGACAGGGTGGCAATAATTAGACACATTTTTTACGATCATAACTGGAGGAGTGGTACCAACGAGCAGAGAGGCCAGGGATATTGCTAAATGCCCTATGATGCGCAGGACAGTCCCCCATGTAACCCGAAATCCTAATAGCACTGTGTCCAGCCTCTGTGCTGGGCTCCCAGTAAGAGAAAATGTGGTCAAGTTCTTTATAAGCCAGTACCCTTCTCTCTCTTAAAATATTTTCCTTGATCAGCTAACAAGAATTGTGTCTCCCACTCTACTTCTGCCTTAGCCCCTCAGCAATAGCAACAACATTTAAAAATCTTTGTGCTATTCCTTTGTATGATTCTGATAATCTGTTTTTATTTTAACCTTCTTATACCACATCTTTGAATCAGAGGACAAAGTTTCTTATCAGTAAAAGGATGCTTTGTTGGATGGTTGCACGAACAGTTCTGTGAATATCTGAACTGAAGACGGATGAACAGAGGGTGGGGAATAGATGAATAACGGAGGCATGGATAGACAATGAATGGGGATGAAAGTGAACGGGAAAAAAAGGAAGGAAATTTTACTTTAGAAAGAGAGAGCATGGGAGACAATTGGCTGGCTGCCAGTGTAATTTTTAATGCTTAATGTAAAATAAATCTAAATAAATATTTTTACTTTCAGCGGAAAAATGACCCCTATTCTCTTGCATCCCTGGTGTCCTTTGAAGTCAAGAAGATGCCTTATAAAGATCAACCAGCCAAACTCCCGGAAGGAAGCATAGCTGTGAGTATCTTTGAAAGGAAATACAAGCTCAGATTGTTTCATTGAAAGGCTCTTCAGGCAAGGATGTATCTCAGTGGTACAGCACATGTGTGAGGCCCTGGGTTTTAAACCCTGGTGCTGAAAAAAATCATAAATAATAATTTTTATTCACTGTTCAGCCTGTTCTAGATTTAAATGGTTACTTGATTTAAGAAAACTTTCCTTTGGAACCCAAAATGATAGTTCAGTGGGTAAGGCGTTTACCTTGCACATGTTCAACTGAGGTTTAACCCCTCAAATCCCTGAGCCTGCCAAGAGTGATCCCTGAGCAGAGAGCCAAAAATAAGCCCTGAGCATGGTGGGATATGATGCCCCCCCCAAGAAAAGAAAGAGAGGGAGGGAAGGAAAGAAGGGAGGGAGGGAGGGAGGATGGGGGAGAGAGAAAGAAAGAAAGAAAGAAAGAAAGAAAGAAAGAAAGAAAGAAAGAAAGAAAGAAAGAAAGAGAAAGGGAGGGAGGGAGGGAGGGAGGGAGGGAGGGAGGGAGGGAGGGAGAAAGGGGGAGAGGGGAAAGCGAGAGAAAGAAAGAGAGAAAGAGAAAGAAAGAAAGAAAGAAAGAAAGAAAGAAAGAAAGAAGGAAAGAAAGAACTTGCCTTTTTTTTAAAAAAAAAAAAAACTTTCCTTAGTTTAGTCTGGAAAAGTGTTAGTCTCATTTAATCCAATTTGTAAGCCTTCAATCTAAATGTACACTTCCCAAATAACAGGGCGTGAATAATAGCATTTTTCCTCACACTATTTTGCTAGAAATTCAGCAACAGACCTCCCTGTAGATTCAGGGAGTCCAAATCTGCCTTTCATCAGAATCCTCCAGGTATCCTCTGCCCAGTACGGTGTTGCGAAGCTCTGTCAGAAGGGCCTCCAAGTCCAGCCATGGCTACTGCCATTTCTTATCAGCCTGGGTCTTTCAATGAAATTTGATGCTTCACCTTTCTTGCCTAATCTAGTTTGAGTGCTTTAAAGGAATCCAGTCAGTGATTCTCAATCCTGAGGCTGCAGAGGGCTCATTCCTCAGGCCGCTGTACAGATACCCACAAGCTCAGACTGTGCCCCAAACAGCAGGCGTCGGTAGCTCTGAGGTGGGTCCCAAGCTGGGTTTGCTGCATTCTGTGAGGACTAGGCCGTGGAGCCCAGACTGAGAACCTCTAACAAGGCACAGAAGAAACTCCAGCCATTCTGAACAAATCTTCTTGAGGTTCTTCCTGACACCACCTCACCCTGGTCAGGAAACTTTCGGAAAGTGACTCTCCCTCTCAAGAGCAATGAGTCCTTCCTCATTCCCCTGAAAGAACTGTGAAGAAGATTGATAAGGAACAGTGTATCTACACCCTCACATTGTACACATTGTACCTGGAACGAGTTTCAGGTCCCAGTAAGTGCTAGAGAGCTTCCCCAGACATCTGGGCCTTCTCTGGCTATGTGAGGAAGGCTGGGAACGTCCAGGGGTTTGCTCAGCCAAACTCTTTCTGGAAACTTTGGTGGCATCTACAAGCCAGCCTCGCCACAGCTTTCTTCATTTAGCTCGCCTCCTTCAACTCTCACGAGATGTCTGCTATAGTCTAGATTTATGTTCAACCTAAAAAAGAGAGGCTTTGTGGGGGTTAACACTGAGCGTTCATCCAGAGACGTTCAAAGGCTCGTTGCTCGAGGGAAGATAAATCTGGGCCTTTGGTTTTCTCTGAGCATGTGTTCCATAACAGAAACACATGTTCCAGGCAGTCGCCTCCAGTGGGGCGCTCTCTGTCCTGGCCACAGGTGACAGCCTGCTGTTCTCCGCGTCTCTCAAAGGAGCCCCCAAAGAGATCCCACACATGCCTTCCCCAGCCCCACCGGCTTGTTACTGCATATTTGAAAGCCTTGTTATCTTGTGTAGATGATTTACCGCACCTTTCAGGAAAGTCTTATTGGAAAAACATTTCAAGATCCCTGGCTCACTAGAGGTCTTGCCCATTGAAAGCCAGTGATACCAGGAAATGATTTTTCTGGGACAGGGTTTGAAAGAACTGTGCTTAGTGTTGGTGCGCTATTTTCTTTGGGACTTCCTCAAAGCTTTTGCTGATGGGTTAGGGTGGAAGAATCAGTGAGGGTGGCTCATCAGAAGCCCTGATCTCTCATCAGCTGGAAGGAAAGCTCCCCGTTCTTTCTCCTTTAGTGAATCTCCAGCACATCTGCTTGTTTCCAAGGCCCTAGTCTGGGATGATGCATTTGTTTGTAGCCCCTTTTCAACTCATAGTTGCTCATAGTTGCATTTCTTGAAGCTCTATAAGCTTACTGTGTTGGGGAAGCTAGCCATTTCCGTGTGTGTGTGTGTGTGTGTGTGTGTGTGTGTGTGCACGCGCGCGCACTCGCACGCAACAAGCAAAGTCTTCCTGGGATACTAATCGCATGAGGGAAGACACCAAATCATTATTTCGACAATGCAGCAATGAAAATAAATTACTCGGTCAAAGGAACACTCTTTTGGCTCAACAATAAACTTTGGAATTTTGCGTCATATGACAAAAACATTCTACAATTTACATCTATAAGGGAGAATTATTATCTAGCATAACGACAAAAGGAGTTATCATAAAATAATTTAGGACAATCTTTACTTAAAAACTTATACATAGGGGCCAATGAGATAGTTCAAAGTGTTGAGTATGAATTGCATGTAGGAAATTCTGGTTCCATCCCCATCACCAAAGCATCACCTGAGAACAACTGGGAACAATGCCAGAGCACTGAGCCAAGAGCAGCCCCAGAGCACTGACCCAAACACACGCACATACAAAATTAATAACAAAATTAAAACTCACACATCAATGGTGAATCCGTTTAATTCCAAGAATTGTAATACTTCAAGACCCTAACATGGGTTTTTTTTAATTAAGTTGCAATTCAAACTTACACAGCATAGGGGCCATTTCAGTGTTGTTTAAAATGTGTGTTCAACTCATTTGTTTTCTGTTGTTGTTTTCTTCTACATGGCACTGCAGGTAGGGTGTTTTGGTACACTGACTTAAAACATTCTTGTGATCCCACTGAAGTGTATTTACACAAGATTCTGTGATACATAAATACAGATGTCAACATTAATTATAGTTGCAAATACAAGGGAGCTTTTCCCTTCTACCCTAGTATTTTGTCAAAATATACAACAACATATCATAAATGTCCCCGTGATAAAATGTAGACATATTAAAGATTTATTTATGGTCTTTCAACCATAGTAATGAGGAACAAGATTTATGGCCTGATGAAGGTAAGATTAAATGTTCCTACTTAGCATCACTTTAAAAGCATCTAAGCCACTTACAATTTATGAGCCCCACTTCCTAAAATTGCAGATAATTATCAATGAATTGGTAAAGTCAATTTCTTTAAAGAGCTCTGAGTTATTGACACATTAAAATGGATTGATTTGTTGGCATGCAGTTTCACTTCCCTCCTAAATTTTTACCACCACCATAACTCAACATACCCTTTCTTTTAAAAAGCACCAACTTAGAGAACAACTTTTAAATTCACCGTGAATGTTTATTAAAAGCCCTGTAACCACAAACCCATACTCTCAAAAGCAAAACTTTAGTCCTAAATAAACCCATCTTCTGCCTTGGGGTCACCTTCTTGGTGAAAGAATTTAATAAAATGAAACTTGGCCAGATAGCCATTATTATATTACACCTATGACATATATACTCAATTTTAGAGATGTGTTTTTTAAATGTCCAATATCTGATTAAAATATATGTCAACTATATGTTAGAATAATAAATCTTGGCACTTAGTTTAAATGAAATACATTTATTAAAATTAGTGCCATTGTCTTATCCAGTTTGGGGATGGGGCCACCATAAGCTTTAAATTTCACATGTGGTTTGCATCATCTTCCTATTGAAACTCCCTGATCTAGAGCCCGGAGTTGATGATAACACCAACTGAACTTCACAAAACATGGTGTTTAATCAATATTATTTGAAATGAATGAAAAATGCTCCCTATAAATCAGGATTTTGTCCTCAGAAACTCTAAGAAAATAAGGACCTGTTTTTCTCATTATTTATTATCCAGTGAATAAACCTAAGTCTCTTGGCCAAATGATCTGCAAGGCAAATATAAATACTGAGTAGTGCAACACTTGGGCTTTTTCCAATACTCTGTTTCTTGGCCAAGCTTCCCCCAAACCCTTCTGTAATTCCAATGCACAAGCACAAATTTAAATAGATGTGAAGGCATCCACGAAGCATGCCAGAGGCGCACATGCCCTATCCCACCTGCAGATGAAGTGGCCTGTTGCTGTGGCCAGGAGTCCCAGCTCACTGTCCTCAGAATGATGTCCTTCATGCCACATCTATGTCATGGGCAAAGGGATCCCATTCCCCTCCTTCCTGCACAGGGAACAAGAAAAAATGCCTGGGTTCTGTGGTGGGTTTTCTCTCTTTCACCATCCTTGCTGTAGTCACCTTTTGACTCGGAAAAATCCAGGATGCATGTAAGGTCACCCTTGGTGTGAAATAAGGTCGCTGTGGCTGTATCCACTTTCGACTAAGAGGACTGGGCAGCCTCCAAGCCCTATGGACATGCTCAAGACAAGACGTCTATGTAGGGCATGCAGAATGCAGGCTGGGAAGGGCAGCACCAAAATTGCCTCTTCCTCCTCCCCCAGGGTTCTCGTGATTGCTCTTTGGCCCTGCCACGCTGAAGGGTGGAGGGGGTGGGAGGGTAGCGGAGGTCAGAGCTATTCCCAGTGGTGCTCAAAAGACCATGTGGTGCCGGGGATTGATCTCCAGGCTCCCCTCTTCCCCATCTGCATGGCATGTGCTCCACTGCTTGAACCACACCCTTGACCCGCATTTGCCTTCTTGGAAAAACCCTTTCTGTGCTGTCCTCTTAATTACATACGATGACAGAGAGGAATGTGTCCTACCAGCACAAGCTTTGAGGCACTCGGAAAGCAGCGCGGAGGGATGGTGGCCAGGAACTGTGTTAGTGGGAGCAGGAGGACGGTAGCTTCCTCACAAGAACTTCAGAACTAGGGGCGTTGAGGAACAGCCGCGTTCAGACTTTTTTCAAGATGAGACTGAGAATCAACAGGGGCAACATGTAGAAAAAAAAACAGTCAATCTGGTGTGTGTCCTGTACACCTGACTCCTGACTCAAGAGACCCCATTCAGCATCTCCTGCTCCAATGATTGTTGGATCATTCATTTCCCATCAGTGCTGAAAAAAAAAAAACTTTAAATGGCACAATCCCCTCAAGTTCCTTGCATTTTGCTGTGACTGACAAAATTTCTTTTATTTTCATTGCTGTAGGGCTGGAGCGATAGCACAGTGGTAGCGCGTTCGCCTTACAAGCGGCCAACATGGCCGACCCGAGTTCGATTCCTCCGCCCCTCTCGGAGAGTCCGGCAAGCTACCGAGAGTATTTGATATGCCAGACACAGTAACAACAAAGTCTCCAATGGAGACGTTACTGGGCCCGCTCGAGCAAATCGACGATCAACGGGAGGGCCTTTACCTTTACCTTTCATTGCTGAGTCACATGTCCTGGTATACTGTCCCCTGTCCTCTTTATTCAACCATATGCCAAGGGACACCTCAGTGGCTTCTGTGTTTTAGCTACTCTGTCACAAATACTGGGGTAACCTTAACTTTGGAGGTTCGTGTTTTCATATTCATCAGGTAGATACTCTGAAGCAGATTGCTGGGTTATTTTATAACTTTCATCTTTAACTTCTGGAGGAAGATCCATGTTGTTTCCCAGTTTACATTCCCATGATCCCATGATACGTGTCGAATCTAAACACACGTGGCTCTGGGCCTTGTCCAAAGTGCAAAGGAAAGAGCTTGGCCAGGTGTCTCCTTGGCTTTGTTAGATAATCATCAGCTTCTCTATTTGTAGGGCCTCCAGAGGCTCAGCCCCCGGGGGGAGAGGCAGGGATGGTAGAAGGCATTGGAGAGCCTGCGCCCCTGCTGGTCCTGCAGGTGTCCAGAGTGCATCCCTTGCAAGTGGAGAACAGAAAGATTCATTCTGCAGGAGCTGGAAGTCAGGGGTAGGATGAGGGCAGCACACTCACCTTGGGGAGCTAGAGTCCTCTGCAATTGGGCTACAGGCTTAAGCTCCCAGTCCCCCCTCCCCCACCATCCCACCCCACTCTGTCCTTCACTGATGGAACAGAGTCCCGGCCAAGGAGGCCACACTTGCTGATTACGTGGATGAATCATTGAAACTCCTTGGGACCCACTTTCCTCTGTGAAATTTAGGGTTGCATGATGAGGTGCCTGGCTTCCTACCTCCGACTGAACAGTTGCTCCCTTTCAGTGGGATTCCCTCATTTCTGTGGACAAACATGTCAAGACTTGGCCTGTCATAGATCCCCACTGGTACTTAAAGTCCTGGCCCAGTTGAAGGACCTTCCTATGCAACTCTTGGCTGATCAAACAAATTCCTATTCTGCTCTGTTTTGCTTTGTTTCCCTGTGCTGTTATAGACCAAACACCCACCAAGGTTCTGTGCCCATGCTGGGAAATCCAGTAATGTTCTAGTGTTTTTGATTCCATATTAAAGTTCTTTAAGCCCTCCCCCACCCCAGTGATGACTTGCATCAGAAAATTTGTTCTATTATAATTATCCCCTCCCCCATGTTATATTTGTAAATGCTGCTTTATATTACCAGCTTTCAAATCAGCATTCATTTGTTTTCTATTTCAGATTAAGACATCGGTTATTTGGGCAACCCCAAATGTTTCCTTCTCAATCCCATTATGGGTAATAATACTAGCAATACTTCTGGGATTACTGGTTCTGGCCATTTTGACCTTAGCATTATGGAAGGTAAGTTTATTTACTTTCTTTTTATCTTTGAACTGCGAGGCGGCTGAGGGAGTTTGAAAAGATAAATGTAGGAATTTAGAAAGACAGTGCTAAAGCTATAAGGCATGCTTTGGTGTGTGTGTGTGTGTGTGTGTGTGTGTGTGTGTGTGTGTGTGTGTAACAGTCTAAAAGACATAAAAGGAACATCATTACCTTGTTTGCTTTGGCAAACTTAATATGCTTGCGTCGTTGACATTCAAGAAGACTGGGGCTGCTTAATGTTGCTTTTATCTCCATTTCTGGTAAATAAACATATAGAGACTGAGACATGATTAATTAAGACCTATGATCTTCTTTCTTATTGCTTAGAGCAATAATGTTATAATGAACTTCTTGGTCTAGTTTAATTAACCAAGCTCTTTAGCATTTTACTGACTTGGTATAATCATCAATCCTTCAAGATAATTTTATAAGCCCTCACAGATGCAACTAATAAAGAGCAATTTCTATTTTTTTTAACCTTGGACTATCAATTAGTCCAAATAAATCATTCATGTTATAATATTTCTGAACTTATTCCTCTTTTTAAGATCTTGCCAATTCATTCAGTAGGAAGACTTAACTTATTCTTTCGTGTATTTTATCAAAGTTTGCTTTTTTACAAGTCTACAACAGCCATTAATTTCTGGCCCCCAAACCAGCACAACTGCCAAGTTTCCTGGAGTTTTTGATTGCAAAATAGAAGCAATGTCACACTGACATAACTAAAAGAGTAATGAACCGATTGCATGTTAGTTAACTACTATTGCTGTAGTTTTCCAAAATCACTTTTAATTAAAAGCATGTGGTATGCTTAATAAATGGAGAAAACCTGGCCTGGTGGGTTAAATGATGTCTTGAAGACCATTATCGGCTGTTTTGTGCTATTCTGAGCCTACATAATCTACTATGAAATAGCAAAAATAGACTTTTTTGATACTTAGAAATAGAACTAGACTTTTACATTACCACGAGTATAGTACCTCTATTTCTGTGATATGATGATAGGCTCCAGATGAAGAATAGTGCTCTACCCATTCCACCACTCTCCGAGAAATCATCGTAATTAGAAAGTCCCAACTGCTGGGTTGGCCTTCCAATACAAGAACCCATCAGTGAGAACTAAGATTCCACATTTTTTGCAGTGTTTATTTTTATTTTTTCTGAATCTGGAGCGATAGCACACCGGTAGGGCATTTGCTTTGCACACAGCCGGCCTCTCTGAGCCAGGTTCGATTGCTCCGCCCCTCTTGGAGAGCCTGGCAAGCTACCGAGAGTATCTCGCCCACACGGCAAAGCCTGGCAAGCTCCCCGTGGCATATTCGGTATGCCAAATACAGTAAAAACAAGTCTCATAATGGAGACGTTACTGGGCCCGCTCGAGCAAATCGATGAACAATAGGACAATGACAGTGATTTTTTATTTTTATTTTTTTTAATTTTTTTCACAAAGCTGTTTATGATTGGATTTCAGTCAAACAGTATTCCAACACCCATCCCTCTACCAGTGTACATTTCCCAGCACCAGTGTCCCCAGGTTCTCCCCCATCACCACCTCACACCCTGCCTGCCTTGTATGGCAGGTGCTTTTCTTCTCTCTCCTTTTGTTCACTGTGGTTTGCAATACTGATACTGAAAGGTTATCCAGAATATCCCTTACCTACCTTTAACCCTCATCTCTTGTCCAGCATGATCATTCCCAGCGATATTGTCATAGCAGTCTTTTCTCTTTCTTATCTACCCAGAGTCCCACACACACTTGTGGTTAGTTCCAACCATTGACCAGTCTTCCTAATTCCTATTTTCCATGGCCATGGATATGATTCTTCCAACACACACACACACACACACACAATAAATGATATTCCACATTTTAAGGAAAAGACATCTGCTCCTACTCCAAATAATTGAGGAGAATGAAGGTCCTAAGAGCCACTCTTTCCTAAATTGTTGATAGAGCTTCAGAAAATCTACAAAGTGTCATGGACAAAACATTCTAATGTACTATGAACTCCACCCAATGCTGAGAGATGGGTGAGCGGGTGGACCCCACCCCTCTCCACACACCTTGCTGTGCTCTGTCCTGGGGCGGGGGGGTGACTGGACATCTCAGCAGTCTCCCTTGCCCAGGGAAAGTCAGCAGCTAACACAGCTGCTACTCTGGAAAACACACTGCGAAGCAGAGAGATACCTGGGGCTGTGTGTGACTCCCATGTGGTCTGTGTGACACAGGCAGCCTCCCCCGCCAGGATATGGCTGGGGGAAGCACCCGACACTGTCCTGCACTGTAAGTTTCTCTTTGCCAAATGAGGTCACCTCCTCATTTGGAGGACCTGATTGTGCAGATTCTATCCACAGAACTCTGGGTCCCTCAGAAAAACACAGAGTGGCCATGAACTTAGGGTGATGTGTTTTGCAAATGCCAAGGGCCCTGATTCTCATGCCTTTGCTTCCCTCTCTTTTGTTGCAGTGCGGATTCTTTGACAGGTCAAGACCCCCACAAGAGGATGTAACTGACAGGGAACAGCTGACAAATGAGAAAACCCCAGATGCCTGACAGGCAACATCTGCAACCAAAAAGAACTCAAGCTCGAGTCCAGTTCAAAGAAAAGAAGGAATGGATGGACGGATGGATGGATAGACAGACAGATGTGTGCAGCACAGGGGGTGCCCATACCCGCATACTGCTGGTGAGCTGGGGACCATAGGGCCCTGGAGACTCTCAGCACTTCCAGGAGCTGATCTTGAGATGCTGGCACTTCCCCCAGCAGGGAAGGTGGTATCCTGGGCACCGGTGACTGACTCTGCAATCGTGGCTGACTCCTTTTGCTTTTAGCAGCCTGTTTTGGCAGACATTCTGGGCATGGGAACCGAGCTTGCTTTCCAGGTAAACCCAACTCGCCAAGATGAAATGGCTGAGTGACATAAGACTTCTGAAGGTGAACTAGGACGGAAGTTTCCAATACTACTGTATCCCGTGGAATTCTCTCACACCTCCCGATGGAAAACAAGCATTGTGGATGACCCTCCGGCTCAGGGAGATAAGCCTATGTTGTTAGTACTGTGAAAGTACTTTTCAAACGACAATGAGAATCTTGTAAGCCAGGAGACCTATTTATTTATTTCCCATTTCTCTAGGCTGACCGAAGCCATCTAGGATCTGAATTCGATGTGGCTAACTAGTTCTCAAACCCGCTCACTAAGTGTCCTTCTAAGACAAGCATTATGGCCAGGTAAATAAACAGAGCTACTTGGGGATATTAGACACCCTAAAAGGAAAAGCAAAACGGTATTGGGAGACAGTTTCACTTCACATCTTGCCACCTTCTGGTGAAATTACGTTTATTCACACTGTCCAGAGGCTCACAACTGCTTGATTTAGCTTTGCACACTTTGCACTAATATTTCCTCTTATCAAAAACATCATCTTTGGGCTCACGAGGTAACTCGGGGGGCTGAGCACAGACTTGGCATACAGGAGGCCCAGGTTGGACCCCGACATGGAGCTAGAGAGTTGCATCCACACCCTACCAGGTGTAGCTCTAAATGCCAAACAAGGTGAAACAATTTGCCATTGACTAATCCATAAATATCAAGGTGTTCCTGATCCCTCGAAGTGCTTCAAAGTAATGGTAACATATCTAGAGTACATGCAAAACACCAGTACAATGAATGAGTGCACGGACAATTTTTAATATCTACAAGAAGAAACTCCAGTATGTAGCTGGGGAATAAATGCTATACCTCAATCTGATATATACAGACAACACTTGTTAACAATAAACCGGAAGGAAATAAAAAGTTAAGCAGATGTGAGATAAACCCAGGAAATGGCTTCCTAATGAATTTATTTAGAATTACCTGTTCTAGCTTTACTACTCATTTTGATTGTTAATTCTGATAGTCCAATAATTTTGGGAAATAATCTTTACTTAAGCTACTCTCCTATCATCTTGAATTTAATCACCACAAAAACTTGATGCTTACAACATTTGTAAATAATCCATAGTCATGTATAATGATGCCATTTTTGAAGTAAAACTGACCAAAGTCATATATAGTCTGCACAATTTTGTATTCTTCTTATAATGATGAAAAATTACTCTGATGAAATGCTGAAAAAATTTTATACGTATGTGCAATATTTTATAGACCTATGTATCTAAGGCATGTTTACACTGGCTTTCATTATTTTTAAAATAATATCCTGAATCTTAAGTATCATCAATCAGAACTTTACAAGGTATTCGGAACATCTGCATCCTGATGTTAATAATGACCCTTGATTTGAAGTAAGAGCTGCACACACAGACTCTATGTATGCCTGCCTTAAACCAGAGACCAGGTGGTTGGCTCTGGTGGAAAACTCCTTGAGAAGTAGATGCTGGGACATGTCAGGTCAGACAGGTGTAGACAGATCACACTGCCCTAGCTGGGGAATTAACCCCTCTTGAGCATCAGTGAGGCTGCTGGGAACCAAGTCCGACTCCCAGAAGACATTCCTATCTGAGGGTGAGAACTGCACATACCTCACAGAGTCTGAGGGGCCCACACCAGCCTGTGGGGGTGCTAGGTACTAGATCCTCAGCAGGATTGGATTCACAGGGAAGAGACCAGAGGTATATAACATGTTTAGAGGGAGGTCCTGCAAGAGCCCCTAAATAATGTCCTAATCTGTCACCATCCCTGACCTTTGACCCATAACGATTAGTTGCTCTGGATTTTTTATTTTTAATCAATCCAGACATAACAGATCCCTGAAAAAAAAAACTCACTCATGGGCTTTTTTAGCAAACACTCATTGCAGGGTCCTGAGAGCAGGGAAAATACAAAGCACAGTGGGAGGAAGAGACACCCAAATCCCCAAGTCCAATCAGAGTGTGGGAGCTTCTGAAACAAGCAACACCTTCCTCCTGGCTCCGGCCACAAGGGGCTCTGTGCTCAGGGGCTGGTGCCATTCCCACAGGCCTTCACAGAGGTTACCTCACTGTCACTCAGATGTGGAGCCCCAGGGAGGAAGGGAAACTGAGGTCAAGTGAACCCGTCCATCAGCAGCCTGTCTGTCAGCAACCCCTATGGCAGCCTCCTGAGAATGTTGTAGCAACATACCAGCCCTGCCTGGTCTCACAACATTGCAGATGCTGCCTCACTTCATTACGTGCCTTTTAAAGCCTGTCTGTATTTGAGGAAGTCCTTCAGCAAGTCTGAAGCTGGTTCCCCAGATGTGGACAAACAACTTTTATAAACGTGGAGATTTTTATACAGTGCAACCTGTCTGAGTGGCCTTCCCCCATACTCCACTCTTGGAATACACTCTTTTCTTTTTCCTATTTTATTTAAATACCTGTGTAGAAAATGTGTGGAGATACCCATGTACCCATTTACCATGTCACTAATAAACATAAAAGTTAAGACAGAATGTGAGGCCCTGTTGTTTGTTCCGGAAGCCGTGGAATGTGTCTCCATGTGGAATAATCAAAGGTTCCTGTCTTCATACCGTTTCCCCGTTCCAGTGGGAATGGTAAAAATCCAAAGGAGCAAAACCTCCATGCTGCTCCAGGGTGATGGAAGCATCCTAAACTTCCTGGGTGGGCATGCTGGCACCACCCATGCGGAGTCAAGAGCAATAAATTGTATGCTTTAAATGGGTAAGTTTTAGAAGGTCAGTGAAATCTCAATATTTTTTAAAGTTCATCATTCCTAAAACATCCATCATCTTGATAGGACCAGTTGCTTTTCTTTCCACCATATTTTATGAAAGTTTCACTCAGAGGTAAGTCTTCGCTCTTTTACGAAGTTTTCCCTCATGCCTTAGGCTTAATTTGAAAACTCCCTTTCCTCATCAAGGGCATTCGGTGAATTACTGGGCTTTCCCATCTGTTCTCAGGACATTCTTCCATCGGGAAGGGCCCTCAATGAGAACCAAGCACATCCTCCCCCACTTTGGTCTCCCACACATCGTACCAACATCTGATAGATAATGTCGGTGCTCAACAAATATTCATAGGATGAATAGAAATGAGTGAATGACCATTTCTACACTGACAGGAATAATCATGAGAATAGGGACAGGACAGCTGGGATGAGCTTCCCTGACAAAGTCCCAGGGTACAACCACATTTACCTAATTTTAGTTACACGGCACATCATTATTATAGGTACCAATATTCTGTTCAACAAATGAACTATGAATGCTGGGTCATCCTCCACTTCTTGCTGAATAGTTGTTCACCAATCAATCACAAATTGAGAACACCAAACTGAGTATTTTTCCCAGGAAGTAACATTTTAGGGAAACGTTGGCAATGTTGCCGTTGCCAACATTGTCATCGGCAGCAGTGTTAGCCAATGTAGCAGAAACCAGGAAAAGTATTCTCAACACCCGCCTGTCCTTCGCCAACTATAAGACCAAGATGACTGCCCTCCGAAGTCCTGATGAATCTATCACATCTTCCAGAAGGACAATGGAAAAGGTTATCCAGAACTTCTACTTGGATCTCTTCGATGGCCACATCCACCTGCCCACATACCAAATTCCGCAGGATGGATATGTCGTTCCCAGCATTCTCCCTTCCAAAATCTGACACACCATTTCATCAGTAAAGAAATGTACAGCACCCGGTCCAGACAAGATCAGATTTGAACACCTGAAGAATCTGTCACCAGTACTCGTCAATACACTGGTTCAGCTCTTCACACACTACCTGTCTGAATGCAAGATTCTGTCCCAGTGGAAAACCAGCAGGATCGTTCTGTTGTACAAGAAGGGAGACATCCACAACATTGGAGAATAATCGCCTAATCTGCCTATTGCCCGTCATCTACAAGTTATTCACTCGAGTCATCCTGAATAGGATCAGCAGAACACTAGATAAAGGACAACCTTGCGAGCTAGCTGGGTTCCAAAAAGGATCCAGCACGATCAACCATATCCACATGGTGACCAAGCTCATTGAGGTTTCTCGTGAGAGTTCAAGATGCCACTCTGTCTAACGTTCATTAATTTAAAGAAGGTCTTTGATTCTGTTGAGACTGAAGTGGTCATCGAAGCCCTAACCAAACAGGGCATTCATACTCAGTACATCAGGATCCTCCATGAGCTGTATTACGGATTCACCACTAGGATCTCACCATTCTACAAGGAAGTGATCATCAGTGTAAAGAGAGGGGTTTGACAGGGTGATACCATTTCACTGAAACTCCTCAGTGCCACCCTCGAGAACATCATGTGACAACTGGAATGAGAAGAAATGGGAGTGAAGATAGATAGTCGGCAGCTATACCACCTCTACTTTGCTGATGACATCATTCTAATAACACCAAACATTAGCCAAGCAGCATGAATACTGGCCAACTTTGACCATGAGTGTGGAAAGGTCGGGCTACAGCTGAATCTCACGAAGACAATGTTCATTAGAAACAAACTAGTCCCTGATGTTCCAATTTGCTCTCAATGGAACAAACATCTCCAAATGCAGCAGCTGTGTGTACCTAGGTTGAGAAGTCAACATGACGAACGACCTGGCACCTGAGCTGCACAGAAGGAAGAGAGCGGCGTGGAACACCTTCAAGGGCATCGAGGAAGTTGT